CACACACACACACACACACACACACACACACACACACACACACACACACACACACACACACACACACACACACACACACACACACACACACACACACACACACACACACACACACACACTCAAACACGCTCGCGCACGCTCGCAAACATATATCGAACTAGACAGAGGGCACTCACGGAGAGTGCTTACCTCTGCCAGCGACATACGCCATACGCCCCATGTAACATGTATGTGTTACGAGCTGGCTGGCTCGCTGACTCGACGCGCTAATATCGATCGCGCGAACACACTAACACACGAACACACGAACAGACTAACACACTAACATACTAACACACGAGGCCGATCACATAACATCCTCAAACTACGTTGGGCGGAGGTAATTACATCGCATTGCACACGTATATATTTACATTGAATTTACATTCGTACGTTTTCAGAATTCGACTCCGATACGCCATCTAAACTCTTCGTCTCCATGGCGACCAGAGCGACATCTGTCTTGTACGTCGCCGCTATGCTGTTCGCAGCACCCACTGTTTCCGCTTCATCCTCTTCATCCACGTGTCCGAAACACTTGCCTTTAGCGAACTTGAACGCGAGTGCGTAGAAGAAGACTGCTAGCACGTAGACAGCGGCGGTGGCGCCATGGATCGTGTAGCGGAGGCGATCGTTGTCGTACAGTTGACAGTTGCCTGTCTCGTCCTCCTCGCACTTTCCAGATCGCCAGAGAATGCAGGTCGTGTCCACCAGCATCCCGGCCACCACCGGACCGGGCATTAAGGCTGAATAGCACGAGAAAACACACGCATCTTAATTATCAGCAGTCTATCAATAGGTGTATCAATATCAATAGATAGACTCCTGATCTGATCAGAAGTGAATAAATGAGATAATGATAAATGTATTATAATGACTAATTGTGAATAATAATTATCTACTAATATTCACTTCTGATCATAGCATAACGCGCATATATATTCCGTCGTCTTCGCTGCACGTTGCATTGCGTTGTACTGTGTTACATTACGTGGCGTTACGTTGCGTCGTGTCGTATCGTATCGCATCGTACCCATATCGTGTTGTATCGTGTCTAAACTGAGTATAGCAGTATAGTCGTGTCTAACTCTTACTACTCGTCTAAGCAGCATGACACAGGGCCGGAGCCTCTGGGGGGTAAGGGGGCAGCCGCCCCTTTAGATTTTAGAGCAAAATTAAAAAATAAGCTTAGCCAATAATCGTAAATAACCCTAACGTGATTTTTTTGGTCACTTATCCGTGAAAGCCTTGTCTCAGAGCCACCACCCCTACCACACTATGAACGTCGATCAAGAGCTGCGCCCGTCGCTCATCATTACACAGTTGAGTCATGAAATTTTGCCCCCCTAGGAATTTGTTCAGCCTACGGCCCTGTGATATCACACTCATGTTCCTTACAACTCGATGCTCTATATGTTAATATACTAACATACTTACCGAATAAACTAGAAGCAAGTGAGACGACGCCTAGAGCGAGAGGTTTCTGGTCCTGTCGCACACACCTGCAGGGTGGAGAGAGTGAGATGGTGAATGCGTATAGCATCGTCTACACGGAGTCACCTTAACCCGAGTTAAGCTAACCCGAGTTAACACATAATAACCCGAGTTAACCCGAGTTAACACTTAACCCGAGTTAAGCTAACCCGAGTTAACACATAATAACCCGAGTTAAAAAACACGCATTGTCTACACGGAGTCACATTAACCCGAGTTAACACTTAACCCGAGTTAAGCTAGCCCGAGTTAACACTTAACCCGAGTTAACACTTAACCCGCGTTAAACTAGCCCGAGTTAACACTTAACCAGAGTTAACACTTAACCAGAGTTAAGCTAGCCGAGTTAACACTTAACCCGCGTTAAACTAACCCCGAGTTAACACTTAACCCGCGTTAAGCTAACCCGAGTTATCACTTAACCCGAGTTAAGAAACACGCATCGTCTATACAGAATCACCTTAACCCGAGTTAACACTCAGATCTGCTTCCCGTGGAGACAGTTCAGGCATCCCCCTTCCACATGTCATTGCGAATTTTGCTTACCTCATTTTCGACATCAGGCTAGCCAGCATGAGCGGAGCTGTGAGCAGCGTGCCCGTAAATAGAATCGCGAGGAATCTCACGAGGACGGCGTCACAGTGTGGAGCACACTTCCCAGTCACGGCCAGACCAGCGCCTCCCACGCATGCGCAGCCGCCATACACCTGCAGTGTACGCCATACATATTTCGCCATGTTGTAATACACGCGGCGGCCATGTTGCAGTTATTATTATTATTATTATTAACTCATCTGACATAGTCAGATGCAGCTTGTAGAATTGCATGAGCGTGCGCCGTGCGTCCGTACCGGCCGTGCGTCCGGTGCGTCAACAGTTGGGCACAAATCTTAACCGCTCGACGTACGGTCACGATATCGGGACGTGGGGGAGGGGGGGTAATCCGAAACGAGTTGGGATGTCGAAAGCTGTGGTCAAAGTCAAAGGTCAAGAGGTGTAAAAGAAGGGGGAACATTCCTCCTTTAAGCTTAAGGTATAGGAGGAAATGCAGAATGCGCACAAAATCTAAACGGCTCGACCTAGGCTCGTGATAGTCGGTGTATAGGCATCCATGGTCAGGGAAAAGCCATCACTGTGGCAAAATTGGGTCAAAATGGGCACAGGGCAGATTTTAGACATTT